GCAAGGTACGTGTATTTAAAAATAGCGAGCTTTACTTTGCTCTGTTCCCTGGAATTACATGATAATGATTGAGTACCGTTTTACTACTTACGAAACAGACAGTTAAAATTCGAAGGAGATATACCACAGTACATAAACGAGCTCTCGCTTGTCTATTTCACATTGATTAAGAATACGTGCGCTTGGTACAATTCAGCATTCAAGGATACGAGAATGGCATCAGGTAATATTGCGTCAATATACTTGTAATGGGGCGCTGTAGTTATTGTACGTAAGGCGTTGTGCTGTAGTTATTGTACGCTTACATAATTGCACGTGGATATCAGGTCTTGTCAAATGGGCAAAGGAAGAGATAGAACATTATGCAGATATGTTCAGAAGGCAGGTTTATACTGTTAAGAATCAAGATGAACAGACAGTGGAGAAGTGTCTCCGGTGCACGAGACAACACTGTTCTATAGTAAGTTATAGTAGTATACCGCGTGCGTTAAATCGTAATGATATTTTATGGGACGTTGTATTAACATGTGTGGTTATGTAAACAGCTTACAGATGTTGGTTTGGATCTCAGATTCCTGTTGGAAAGTCTATTACGACCATCCAAGGGTGGGTCACATGGTAGATCGAATAGTGAATACTATGATGACGAGGAGGATGACGATTTCTCGGTGACTTATGTGGTGTCATGATCAATAGAAACAGTATTCAATTTAATTAATAGATGATAGAAATATAAATAAATTAATGAACTTTTCTGAATTAAATCAACTTGGCGAAACAAATTAACATTAGCAATGTCAATGTATAAACACGTGATATTGCCATGATGATCATTTTTGCCAGAATATAAAATATTTGTGCAACATGATCCCTTTATTGACCCTTTTAACTAACCGCAACGTAAACAACAGTTCAAATCATCCCAGCGTAAATAAGTTCGACATATAAAATCTTATAAATTGTTCATACAAATTGTTCATATAGTTATTGCAAGAATAACAACACCAAAAGTCATCTATCAACCCCACTTCCACGGCCATTAAGTTGGATTTTAAGTAGTGTCGCTTCAATAGCTTCGGCATAGATTCTCAACTCCTCCGTGGTCTAAAGAAATTTATATTTGTATTCAATATCAAATAATGTTCTAATAACGAGATATTTGTTCTTACCATCTGTGCGAGCTCCTGTCTTCCCACACCAATATTCACCACGGCCATACTTTTTTCAGTCGCCTTTCGCTTTTGTGACTTCTTCGCTATCATGACAGGTTCCCGTCCCGTATAGTCCAACTTTTTAGAAACAGTTCTTGGTTTTCGACCACGCCTAGATTTTGGGGGAGACATGTTTGAAAAGTGAATATACGGTATATGCTGTTGGGCATGACTCTTTATATCTTGATCTTTATGTGATATTTGAAAATATGTCACAGTCAGCAACTGAATGGTATGATGGCACAGCATTCTTTACAAAAAAAAAGATAACCATGTCTCATGTGCAAGGCAGTTAATATTAATTAGAATTACACAATAATAATCGGGCACGACATACTAAATTTCCCATGGTCGGTCACAACCCAAACTAAAAATGGTTTATGATGAGATGCGATCCATGCAGTGGGCATCGGATCAGCGACAAGTAAACTTACACAAGGTTAGCTGTAAATGATTTAATGAACAATATGTTAGTCTAACAAAATTGTCCGCAGCCGACTAATGCTAATACAGTATACAGCAAGTAAGTAGTATACTAATACACTAAACTCATTTTATGAAAATCATATTTTATCATCGCATTATGCATGGTCTTCTCTTTACTATTGCTTCGAATAACGATAATAATCATATTCATAATCCCCTTTTTCGAGTTTGGTCGTACAATATATGCATAAGTGGTACCAATGTCGAAAGTGGCATAAAACAGCCAAAACGTGGAGTTTGTGCGGACTTTGTATTCTGTCGAAAACTCCGGGACATCGAAGTTATGGATCGAAGCACAAGTGGTATAACAAATAATAACATGACCACTGATACCCTAACATTTTTAATCCGTTTTCTTTTTTTATTTCTTTTTTATATTTATATTTAACACCTTATGTCTGCTAGTGGCGGTACACACGGCATATATATATTGAGTTATTTCAAAAACTTTAAACTAAATATTTAGGATAGGAACGGAGCAAGCGGAGTGTAGTACGGCTATACAGTTGACCAATGAATGACGACAGGTAATATAACTGTTGAGACTAAAAATATTAATATCTCAAGTTTATATGTTTGGTCTACTCGACGGCTAATTTCAGCTTCAAAAAAAGGTGTAGTCAGACAAGTCTTCTTTACATCACATCAGATATACAAATGGGAATGATGCCGTCAGCCCTAATATCGACAGACCAAATAAAATATACCATTAGAATAACCCTTTGTACTGTTAATAACATATAGCGATTTCTATAATAGGAAATACAGTAACGGCCGCAAACAATGAGTAAAGCAACAATAATCAATTTTTTCTGCCCATTAGGTCCTTATTTGTCTGCGTAATATCGTCTGTCCACGAGAGCTTTACAATGTTTAATTGTTGTTGCAATTAATGTAATTAGCAATCTTTATTAAGAACAAGTAACGTTAATTCAAACGATGGAATCTCGTTTCTTCATATCCAACCGACACTCTAGCAGAATATTTTTTTTTGTCATAAGGGGTTAAAGGAGTGACCCAAACAACTCTGATGAATAAGTCCTCTCATACTCACACCTTTCTGGTGTGTTTCACAGAACTCCGTTTTTTCCCGGGGAGTATATTAATATGTTCCGCTCGATTTGCTGGAAAAAAAAAAAGAAGCATATTGCCCCGTTATGAACTGTATCGTAAGCAAAACAACGTTTGATTATGTTATTATAGTTTTCATTATCTTTGGTCCTGGAAAACACTCGCCTAACATAACTGTTGAGTTCTACAGTCCCTTAACAAAAGGCACAGGTGACTAAATTTAACAAAGACGAAAGCGATTTGCATATTACATTTGAATGTAAACACAAAGCGTTTGCATCTGAAGTTCGCGAAGACTTGCAATAAGTTTGACTATCCACTGTTACATCTCATCCATATCTCCATAGCCATTGCCTTGACGGCATTCGCATTTATCACCGTATTACATAACATATTAATATATCATTTCACTTGGAGCAAAAAAAATAATAATTAATAAAGTAAATGTACGTAACGTTATTCTTCAAACTACATGTATTGGTATCATCCTCGCTGAATACAAGAAAAGGATGTAATAATCAATGATTTATTGGTTCGGCGCCAACTCCGATCTGTAGTACAATACGAGAAGAATACAACGCCAGTGACTGAAACATTACACTCAGATATACATAGTACACTGACATTTTCGATAATCTATTTGCGAAGAAAGTTACTATACAGTTCGCAAGGTGGGACAGCTCCTTGCCACCTACGTTGGCGTAAATGACTGTTTAACCGGATGACTATTATTTCTTATAATAATGAAGAACACCGTATTTATTAATGTCATGTGAACATTAAGGTTTTAGACAGTCATATGACATTGGCTTATTAATGAAAGAGTTCACAATAAGAGGTGTGGATTGGGACGTGTGTAAGTACGCTTAGCGTATACTATATAATACAGCGGGATGGAGTAATAACACCGACAATATCGTTTGTCCTGTCCTAAACATTCTATTACTATTTATGGAAAAATATATTGTTGGTCAACGCTAATTGGACAATTGTGAGATATCTCTTCTCCGGAAATAAACCTAAACAGGACATTGATTCCATGATGTCAACTCGGGTACTTCAAGCACTGTAGGTACTCACAATCTACTGCGTGATGGCCGAGACTAATTTTAAACGTTGTCAAGTTCAATATTGCTTATAATGACCCCAAATTTAAATTTAATTGCACGGAATAAGATGCCTCTGCAACTTATCAAGTTTTATCAATAGTATTCTTTTCTACTGTAATTCGACGGTGATTTCTACGGAGATTTTCTCGAAAGTTCTGCAATATATGGATAGACGTAATGCAGCATGCAGAATATAGTAATAGTAATGCCAAGGTAGACACAATCGAGGCACGCAACACACATTGTCCGCTCTTTTATAGTCGGGCAATAATCTGGTATAAGTAGACTATCATCAATTAAATGATACACTCATCTACCATGCAAGCTATATAGCCTCGCACATATCTGCCCAAGCCCTGTTCATTTTCCAAAGTATCCTCGAGGGTGCGCCCTTCCTCTCATTTCTTGTTGAAAAGTCGCTTATAAATGCGATCCCAGGTCCCAAGTTATGGCGTTCCATATTCGCTCAACTTATATTTCGGTCCTGGGTAAGGACTTTCAGACCACGCATATATGATGCGTTTGTTACAATGTTAGCAATCTTACCACTGTTATTCGTAGGCAAGCAAAGGAGTTGCACCAAAAGTATGGACTCGTCGTCAGAATTGCCCCGCATAACGTACTTGTTGCTGATAAGAATGTTGTGTGAATGCATGCTAACGAGATTGCGATAATGAGCTCAGTCGGATCAAATTTGTTCATGTGACTGCTAAAGTCGTCAAAAGGCCGATATCTACAAAATAATCTTTGGAGCCGGTTCCTGGTTTACTTACGACTATGTAAGCAGGGGTTTTTCCCACGAAAACGCATTTATTTATAACTAGTGCGTCTCCTGATTGTATACTATTAATTTCCTTGATGGCAGTGATAAGCAAGAACACAAACAACGCGTAAATTATATCCATTCCCCTTGTACTGACGCTTCTTCACTGTATTTAGCGCCGACTGTTATCACCTGCATTCTCAATTGAAATCTATCGAGCATTATGCACTTTGATTTTGATGATGGCGTTTGATGTCACGAGACACATTCGTCAGACTATTTCGAGCAGAGTTTATCCAAATAAGATAAATTTACAGTATTGGGACAAAACTCAATTCTCTCAAGGGTTCTAATGCAGATATGGCGGATCAATTGATCTGGGAAATGACTCAACAAGTATTTGTAAGTTTGCATTAGCATCAAATCTGTCTATCACTATCAACAACTAATTGGTGGATATTATCCTTAGTCCCCTCTTTCTGTTTTATCATGGTTTGTGCCCTCATTGCCTGGGCCGAAGCTACAGTAGACAGAATCAGATATCTAAACTATTATAATAATAAAACCACACTATCAGTTATATTGATATATTTATTAGTTCTTGATGAATCTCATTGACACATTGTCAGTCTGGTGAAGACAAGGTTGACGTCCTCAAAAATCTTACTTGAATCCAAAGGACCTCTTACTGATGAGCAGACTGACAAAGAATTGGTTTTAATTTTGTAAGTAATTACTACATGCAGTCACTATGGCAAAGTTACCTACAATAAAAGCTCACATTTGCATTTATATTTACAGCTTTGCGGTAACTGGTTGATGTTGGTGAAATCTAATGGTGGGGAACAACAGAGAATAGTGGTGAGTTAATGTATCCAAGAAATACGGTTTGTTCGTTTGTTTCTTTGTGTCGTCTTTGCAACGCAATAACAGGACATTTTGAATTGTAGTTGCTATTCTTGTTGTTTTATTCTCATTCTCTAATGTCATAGTTGTGTATACAATCAGATACTACGTTGTCTATCGTTATCTGTGATATTAATATAAGCATTTTTCGGCTCGATCTAATTAGCTTGGTCTCGTCCCGTTACAACCACAGGATGAACAGAAACTTGATGAATCAATCCGTCGTGGTGGAAGTACATTAGAGCCGTCAGTACCCAGTACCTCTTTGCCTCGTATCTGTACGTAATGGATGATCGGGAGATTGAAGATTTAATGGATCGGCTGGCTGGATGTACCACGTATTTATTGCCGTAACAGTACAAAAAGACGTAAAAATGTTTACATTCGGATTTACTAATTCGTTGCATGCTTGTTTTCTTGTAGTCAATAATGCAATTAATTGTTGGGCTACAATCAGATCCTATCAAACGGAAGCGTATTGTGCGCTTATCTGATGCTATTTGTAAGGATCTGACTATTCCTGACGTTAAGAAGGCAGAAGAGTGAGAAATTGTTGTTGAGACTGGGATATTACGCTGGTTATATTTTCTGCTTTGGACATAGAATACAAAATTCTCATTCTTATTGTGTTATGTTCAAAGGCGCGTCGAATGTTTCTTAGTGCACGGAATTACATAATAATGATTTTACTACTACAAACAGACAGTTAAATTCAAAGATATACCACAATACATAAACGAGCTCTCGCTTGGTTATTTCACATTGGTTAATAATACGTGTGCTTGGTACAATTCAGCATTCAAGGATACGAGAATGGTATCAGGTAATAACTTGTAATGGTTCGCTGTAGTTATTGTACGCTTACATATTTGCGCATGAATATCATACTAAACAGGTCTTGTCAAATGGGCAAAGGAAGAGATAGAACAGTATACAGATATGTTCAGAAGGCAGGTTTATACTGTTCAGAACAGACCGGTGGAGAAGTGTCTCGGTGTACTGTTCTATAGTAAGTTGTAGTAGTATACAGCTTGCGTTAAATAGATGATATTTATGGGATGTTGTATTAACATTGTGGATGTTGGTTTGGGATCTCAGATTCCTGTTGGAAAGTCTATTGGGTGGATCACATGGTAGGTCGAATACTTATGATAACGATAGATGATATAAATAAATTAATAAACTTTTTCGAATTAAATTAACATTAGCAATGTCAATATATAACACGTGATGTTACCATGACTCCTATTGCAAATTTGCAAATTAGCAACCAACAAAAACGTCACCTATTAGCAACCAACAATACGCCAGTATCTCAATTACTTTCCATATTAATGGTGGGTTATTTGTCTAACTGTTCTTGTCAGTCTTTTCTCCACTTGCAGACCAATGATCATGGGGAAATCAAGTGATCTTTTGCATGACTTGTACTCCCTCACCCCAAATATTAATTGGTATGTCATTTATAAAAATTTCTCCCATTATATCTGTGCAACATGTTATCTACATCCCTTTATTGACCCTGTTTACTAAATGTATGTGAGTATTAAATTGTTCATAGTTTAAATGGTTTTTTTTTCGTTTCCTCATCCCACCGTAAATAAGTTTGACATATATAATCTTATAAATTGTTCATATAAATTGTTCATACACATTGTTCATATAGTTATTGCAAGTAAATGCAAGAATAACAACACCAAAAGTCATCTATCAACCCCACTTCCACGGTTATTAAGTTGGATTTTAAGTAGTGTGACTTCAATAGCTTTGGCATAGATTCTCAACTCCTTCGTGGTCTAAAGAAATTTATATTTGTATTCAATATTAAATAATGTTCTAATAACGAGATATTTGTTCTTACCATCCGTGCAAGCTCCTGTCTTCCCACACCAATATTCACCACGGCCATATTTTTTTCGGTCGCCTTTCGCTTTTGTGACTTCTTCACTATCATGATAGGTTCCCGTCCCGTGTAGTCCAACTTTTTAGGAACAGTTTTTGGTTTTCGACCACGTCTAGATTTTGGTGTGGGCTCTGTCTCTTTACGTTGGTCAGTGTTTTGAGACATGTTGGAAAAGTGAATATACGGTATATACTGTTGGGCATGACTCTTTATATATTGATCTTTATGTGATATTTGGGATTTGTGGGGGTGAAGAGGTTGGTTCGAGTTTCGAAATTTTGCTCAATTTCCGTGCTTCGATTATGCAGTTACTATAAATTTTATTGTGTACTAACTTAACACGTTTAATGGCGTAAACCTAAATTTGCCCCATGACGGGTCACACGATGGAGATTTAGAATTAATAACGAGATCCAGTACGGTGGGTGATTAGCTAGGTAATGGCAGGATCAGCGCGGCAAGTAAAAATTACACAAGGGCTAATGTACTGTAAATGATTAATAAATGGATTAATGAATGATTAAGAACAATATCCCGCCAATAAAATTGTCCGCAGCCTCAACACTATATATTAACATAGTATACAGTCAGTAATTCTGGCCCGTACAATCTTATTTTATCTTATCATATTGTGTAACTATTTCTTCGATTCATTTCCCAAAAAATATTTGGCATAAAAAAAGGCGCAAGCGACTAAATCTACCAAAAACAGAAAGTAAATTATTATTTGGTGTTTTCCTCTAAGGTGCAGTGTTCGCGAAGACTTGCACTGTTACATCTGTACCTCTATAGCATAATGTTGAACGCCATAACTTATCTGTCCAGCTTTGATCATCACATAATAATATAGATCGCAAATACGGTTATCCTCAGCCTTGATCATAAACACACTGTCATCATAATCACCCGTATACACAACATATCATATCATTTCTATGTTAGAATTTGCTTCATTTGATGACTCATAATTTGTGTCGCAAGCAAATGCGGAATCATATGAAGGAAAAAACGTATGCATTTCTCTAAGGTGCATGTGACCACTAAAGAATTTTTAGAGCAAAAAAATTTACAATAGAAATTATACAAGATGCAGTATATGTAATATGATTGAATTAAATAATATAATAAATGTATGCGTTATTTTTCAAACTACAAGCATTGGTTTTAATTATATTCTTGGATCCATGAACTGAGATATGACTGTACTACTGTACTATTTGAACTCTGAAGATGTGTAACGTTAATTCGATAGGAACAGCAGAATCCTTTAGTCTTGGTTCATTCGAATGGAGCAGCCTGTTTCAAACATGCTTTTCGTATCACAATCCAGCAATCGTGATTTCCAACGCATCTATGCTGAATACAAAAGAAGAGTGTAATAATCAATGATTTATTGCTTCCGAATCTATAGTACAGCACGAGAAGAATACAAACGCCAGTGACTGAAACATTACACTTACATATACATAGTACACTGACATTTCGATTCGATTCAGCATATTCGCGGAGAAGTTACTATACGGCTCGCAAGGTGGGACAGTTTCTTGTCACCTACGTTGGCGTAAATGGTTGTTGTTGGGACAAGGAAATATGAAGAAAAAAAAACCAACAAAACTTAAATCAAGACAATATTTGGAATAACAAACGAATACAGGTAATCCGAGACTCTCGGTCGTGTCCGTTGGCAATTATTTCCTATATTAATATAGATAATAATAATAATGGTATTAAGAACACCGGATTTATTTTTAGAACGTCATATGACATTGGCCTTAATATTAATAATGAAACAGAGTTCACGGTGAGGGGCGGCGCAGGAATGACGATCAACAACTATATACTGCTTAAGAAATGATATTAGTGGTTTAGTTTGCTATAGATAATCGCATAAATTGATGTTGGTGATACTGATACGGGAAGAGGAAGAAGTTTATGCTGGTTTGACAGTGTATTGGCCATATTTGCAGATTAAGAAGCTGTATTAGTATAGATTTAAAATCGATTGACAGAATGTCGACAAATTTGCGTATAGTTTTAACCCAGTAGCATTGCAAGAATTTACATTCGCAAGTTAAATTGAGCAAAAGATTCAATATTATTGAGGGAAGGAAGTATGGGATTGGGACGTGTGTAAGTACGCTTAGCGTACAATATAATACAGCGGGATAGAGTAACAACACTAGCTTTCCCGACAGAAGACTGACAATCGGTGCCATCATGACACTGTATATCACTTGTTATTGTCCTTTGCGTTTGTCTTAAACATCATATTACTATTTATGGAAAAGTGTATCGTTAATCAACGCTGATTGGACAATTGAGTTCTCCGAAAATAACCTAAAACGCAAACCGACTATTTATATTACACAGATGGCTGAGTTAATTTGTATTTTCATCATTTTACAAAAAGGGTGGTCGCTTACTTACGTTGTCAAGTGTTCAATATTATTTATAATGACCCCAAATTTAAATTTAATTGCATGGAATAAATGCCTCTGCAACTTATCAATAGAATTCGACTGGCGATTTCTACAGAGATGTTCTGCAATACTAATACGTTCTGGATAGACGTAATACAGCATGCAGAATATAGTAATAGTAACGCCAATCACAAGTCAGGCACGCAACACACATTGTCCACATTATCCGCTCTTTTATAGTCAGGCAGTAATCTGGTATAAGTACTATCATCAATTAAATGATAAACTCATCGATATCTGCCATGCAAGCCATAGCCTCGCACATATCTGCCCAAGCCCTGTTCATTTTCCAAAGTATCCTCGAGGATGCGCCCTTCCTCTCGTTACTTGTCATTGTGACATGGTTGATTCATCAAATATACAAATTCCATCTTGAAAAGTCGCCTATAAATGCGATTCCAGGTCCCAAGTCATGGCGCTGGACCGATATTCCACATTCGCTCTACTTATATCTCGGTCCTGGGTAAGGACTTTCAGACCACGCATATATGATGCGTTTTGTTACAAAGTTAGCAAACTTGTCAATTTCTTTATTTCTGTTCTTCGTAGGCATGAAAAAGCAAGGGAGTTGCACCAAAAGTATGGACCCGTTGTCAGAATTGCTCCGCATAGCGTACTTGTTGCTGATAAGAACGTTGTCAAGCAGGTATGAATTATGCTAACGAGACTAGTATCATGCGATGCATGCTAACGAGACTAGTATCATGCGATGCATGCTAACGAGATTAGTATCATGCGATGATGAATCAAATTTGTTCATTTAGATTCTCGTGACTGCTAAAGATTATCAAAAAGCCGATATCTACAAAACAATCTTTGGAGCCGGGGTTCCTGGTTTACTTACAACTATGTAAGCAGGGATTTCCACGAAAACGCATTTTTTTATAACTTGAATTAACTGGTGTCCTGATTGTATATTATCAATTTCCTCGACGGCAGTGATAAACAAGAACACAAACAACGCGTAAATTATAATCCATTCATTCTCCTTGGAATTTGTTGTCATTTTTTTTTGTGCTGACTCTTCCCTGTATTTAGCGTCGGCTGTTATCACCTGCATTCTCGATCGCTCAATTGAAATCTATCGAACCATATATATCAAACACGGTCACAGATTTGTGCGCTTTAATTGAGAAATCAATTAAAAACGCGGATGACGATGGGTGGGCAATTGTTGATATGATGCACGCTTTGCGACTGATGGCGTTTGATGTCACGGGACATGTTTGTCAGTATTATTTCGAGCATATCCAATAAGATAATTTATACGTAATAATTGAAGGTTTATAATTTGCAGTATTGGGGACAAAACTCAATTCTCTCAAGGGTTCTAATGCCGATATGGCGGATCAATTGATCTGGGAAATGACTCAACAGCTATTTGTAAGTTTGCATTAGCATCAAATCTGTCCATCACTATCAACAACTAATTGGTTGATATTATCCCTAGTCCCCTCTTCCCGTTTTATCATGGTTTGTGCCCTCATTACCTGGGCCAAAGCTACGCAAGGTACAGTAGACAGAATCAGATAGCTGGACTATTATAATTATAATACCACACTGTTAACTATTGGTTTATTTATTAGTTCTTGATGAGTCTTGTTGAGGAACATCGTCAGTCTGGTGAAGACAGAGTTGACGTCCTCAAATATCTACTTGAATCCAAGGGGCCTCTTACTGATGAGCAGATTGTCAAAGAATTGGTTTTAATCTTGTAAGTAATTGCGACATTCAGTCACATGGCAAAGTTACATATATTCAACAGCTCACGTTTGCATTTATATTTACAGCTTTGCGGGAACTGGTAGAGTTGTTTCCTTCTTCTCGCACCACGTTATATCCAGACTCATATATTTTCTTAATCCTTCTCACCGCTTTTCGTACATTTCTCTCACGCTCTCACCTTGTTCGGACAATGTATACAGCTAGAACTTCGGTGACGCTGACGATCACCCTCTTGTTGCTCCACTTGCATCCAGAGAAGCTCACTAAACTACTCTCTGAAATCCATGCCACCTTCCCTGATCCCAGCGAACCCGTGACGTATACCAAGTGTAAGGAGATGCAATACCTTAACGCGGTTATTAGTGAAACGATGAGGTTCTATCCTATCGTGGGTCCTGGTTGGATGCCAAGGATCTTCCCATACGATTTAAGGGTTGGAGATGTTGTTATTCCAAAGGGCACCGATATAATCAGTTCTATATATACTTTGCAACATATGGAAGAGTATTGGTGAGTTTGTTATTGCAAATTAGAGAGCGAATTGATGGTAGGGTTAGACCATATAAGACACAAGGAGGAGTAAATAGGAAGGAGAATGTATTATACGGGTATTATTGAGATCAATCACTTTGAACTCGGGAATCTTTTTAAACGAACGTTTCTCTTCCGACTAGGCCAAACCCTGACAAGTTCATCCCGGAAAGATTCTTCCCCGAGAACAATCCAAGCTGGGACGCGTTCTATCCATTCAGTGCTGGAGAAAACAATTGCATTGGTAAGAACATTGCGTGGGTAGCCATGGACATCGCGCTCGTCACACTCTTGCGCAAATTTGAATTGGAGCTCTTACCAGAGAGCGAGCAGACTAGGCAATTGGTGATGTTGTCTACGTTTACAGTCAAAGGCGAGTCGTTGAAGATGAAAGTTAGGAGGCGAGCTGAGGTTAACCAGTGAGCGTGAACGTCGATCATGATACTGATGATATCGGATATGAGATAAATTATTTGATTCACCCCATAGTTATAATAATTTAACATGAAATTATCAGTTTTGTTTAAGAAACGATGTACAGGCCCATTGACCTCCCAATCTCATGCAAAAGTGAAGACTTGACATAATAAATAACTACCAAGAATGTGCGTCTCAATGTTACTATTTATGTAAAGGATCTTGCTATTACAAAAGCTGGGTATATTCCATCCTGCACAATGAATTCGTCTTGAGATTACCGAATTCTCTCGGAAGACAAGATAAATCTATTTTTACGGTTAATAGCCCGAGTCATGATATTGCTTTTCATAAAATAAGACATGCTCTACGAACGGACTATATGATGAGTGCACATATTCTTGATGGGAATGTGCTGTCGCGAGGAACGCAAAGGTAGACTGATGAACTGTGTTCGCCGTTTATAGAATCTTGTGTTACATAAATGAGGAAACGTAATAGGGAATTTGTCATTGCCAAAAGTCTTTTATCAACTCCACTTCAAATGCAACATTTCAAACATAAGACTTAGTAAATAAATGTAACTTCCCGTTTTCTGCAATTGCAAGTAGATTATTTCCTAAGTGCATTTCACGTGATTCACGTAATGTTATATTTGCGTTTCATATACAATACCAAGCTTCAAACATCACAATTCGCGCACAACATTATTTGTTATATGTGTGATAGCTTTGAAACAGCAGAAGGGTTATTATTATTTCTTATTTAATGGAGAACACGATAAAGAAACTGACGATGATACTAATGAAACCAATAGTGAGTGTAAATGAGGCATTAAAAGTTTAGAAAACATAAATATGTTTCTAATTCAACAAAAGTTTGAAGAAATTCATTCGCGAAGAACGGGTAAATTCAATAAAACAAAGTAGCACTCGATATAACCAACTCCGTAAAATCTGCGAATAATAAATACATACACTCTTATAATACATATTAACATCAAATAAGCCTAGCTAAGCCATCAGAGCACCCTCTGGTTATGCAGCATTTGTGGTGCAGTCAGCGAATACTTAATAAGAAAAATAATGGTTGATCACGATGCAATAAATGTTACCAAAAAAGGGGTTTTTCATGGTCCAGTAAAAACTTCCGATCGTCAGCAGCATCGGTTTGAATTTATCTGGCTGTCAGATAACCAGCCAAAAATTGGAGGATTAAAATGATAAGGTCAAATAACATGGTCGGAGTTTTTCAGTGGTATTGTCTCTTCGATAACTTTCTGTTTCTAGATTCCGTTACTCTTCACTTTTCCATTGTACAATGCCAAGGCAAGTGAATAAACTTTGTGCAATAAATAATACGCTCGAGAAGTCGAAAACATCATTTGTTGGTCATACCATTAAAAAACTTAAGAGTGTATGTACTCGTAAAAAAACTTGGTTTGAACCCATCTCATCACGATCTCTACTCATCCCCGTTATTATCGAAAATTTTCTTATATGGAGGCGTATCCTCTCTGAATCGAATCAGAAAAAATTTTCTTTTATAATAGCAACGAAATAATGTTAGAACACGATCGATCTTAATGAACAAAGAGACTCGCTTAATGCTATGTATCAGGTAACAAGTATCGGAGCTGGAATATTGTCCGACCAATCATCGACATAACATGGTAACTAAATTCCTCCGCTAAATTCTTTACGTTCTTGGTCAGGCATATTCTCGCAGCTACAGTTGGACAGAATAAGCAAAAGGCAAACGTTTACATATTCAATCGAAGCCACCATCCTCTCCTATAAGTGATAAAAGATCATGTGATCATAATTTAGGAAGTGCGTTTATAATAATAATAATATGAGGGAAGATAATATTTATTGTGTCACGTGTCAAAATCACGAAGTTTGCCTTTGTCTTTTACTACAAAAGGTTAGATGTGGTTGGAATAAATAAGTAATGAATTGCTCATATGCTTCTTGCAATAAACACAACAGTAATTACGTCATCTATCAAGCCCAGGTTGATTTGTGATTACGTAGTGTTACTTCAAGAGATATGGCATAGATTCTCAACTTCTCCGTGGGCTAAAGAGAATTACATTTGTATTTAAATACCGTTCTAATAGCGTAAAATTTGTTATTTATAAATCTTACCATCTGTGCAAACTCCTGTCTTCCGATAATATTATTCACCATGGTTGTATGTTCATGTTCAACGACTGGTTCTTGCGCCGACCCATCTACAATATCGACAGGCTTTTCTACCGTAGACAAAAGGTGTTGCTCTTCTTTGTAGTTGTCTTTTTTTATCACTCTTTGTTTTTGTAGATTTTCCACCACCATGAAAGGGTTACGCCCCGTAAAGTCCAGCTTTGTAAGGACGTTTCCACGTTTCCAATTACGGGCCAATTTTGGAGAAAGATTTGTCTTTTTACTTTGGTGAGTGTTTTTTTGAGACATATAGGAGATACGATGGGATTATACTGCTCGGCGTGCTTTTTATATATGTGAATGAATGATAGTAGCAGGTATTGTCCTGTCCAATAAAATGCGTTGGCTGAACAATGTAATATTATTTTAAAATATTTGACGACTGGTCTATGAAAATGAAAAGTCAGAAAATCGTCTTGGGCCATTTTTTTAATCCCCCAAATTTAAATGACCAATAATCAACGAGTAGACTTTAACTATTTCTGGTCTGGGACAAGTTAGATCGTTATAAAAACCATCGGCAAACCTATATACAGATATGTCTGCCTTATGGCTAGTCAGTACAGACAGGAAAAAGAACCGTAGGTAGTGTCGCTGATTACGAAATCCCCGAACTTGTGACTGTTGTAAAAACTGAATATCCCACACAAAAACCAAATTTGATCCCCAAATCACCAATTACCCATTTTCATAGTAATAGATATTTGTGTTTGTGTATCTTGTGTATCACAGTCAGTCTGCATATTTAAAGAATAACCCACCCCTGCCAAAATACAAGTGCAACATAAAATTTTACTAGGAAAACATAGTAAACCCCTTGAATTTTGAAAATCTGCCCATGCGCACTTTTTAAGTTACAATGAATTCTTGTTGGTTACATATGAAAATGTGTAGCTTAAATATCGCAACTTTACCAAACTACTTCTTTTATTACAGCGACTAATTTAAATTCTACATTATTCTTTTCGAAAAACACAATCAATTAGCTTCAAAACGATACCAAAATTATTTTGGGTTACATAGCATGTATAGATAATAGACGGAAGGCGGGCGGAGGGGCGGAGGAGCGGAGGAGCGGAGGATAAATACTTTGTGTTGTATTTACACTTTTGGCAACTGATACGAAGCCAATGACATGTACTGTATATCAATTTAAAACATCAAAGTTTTCTGATCTAGGCCTTACTAGTGAAACGAATTTCACAATAAGAGAAACCGCCATATATTTGAAAGTCGAACTGGTTAGAGCGGTAATTGGAAGAAGAGAAGACAAATTGGGGATAGCTTAATAGCTTTAATTGGTGATGTTGCGGCCACAAAGTTAAGTATATAGGATTAGAACGTCTGTCAGGTATGCTTATCGTATGCTATCATGCAGCTGATATAAACGAGTAACGATTTCATCGATAAAGAAAAGGGACAGCATCGCTGCAGGAGAATGATCATTGTGCATGCAACATTCCCGAGAGAAATTATAAAAAAGAGTTATCTACAAGCTGACCCTTGAATTACTTTCTTTCTACTTGTGCTCATGATTTCTTTTATCACTCAAATATCCCCAACATTGTCCAGCTGCATACGTTCCCCTGTTTCAAATCGACGGGGCATTAACATCTGCAGCCTATACCACACTCGTATTTTTGACTATGAAGACACCACATCTCCCTGGCCGTGTAGCTAGATTATCCATTGTAGTTTCTATACTTGATCTATCACATTATTGTGTGATAGTTACACGACAAAAAGGATAATATGCTTATTGGCCAAGCTACACAAACGCAATGGCCTCAGAATTATTTTTTGGCATAGAAAACTTTGTCAAGTATCAAGCTCATTATTGTTTTCTTCCTTTCTACTCTCGAAGATTCAGCGACAGGATTTAGACATATGTATTGTAGCATGCAGAATACAGTAATAGCAATGGTCAAAGGGCCGTAATACGATTGTCTGCTCTTTTATGGTCAGTCAGCAAATCTTGCTATAAGTAGACGATTATCATCATCCTGCATATATATAAAGGGTCAACATTTTATTGGTTGCATAATATATTTATAAGAACAATGAAAGACACCCGTTTACTCTGCTTGTTGACTAAAAAAATTGTCTATTGTTGTTGCATTCATCAACTTTAAACTAATGAATAATCAAAAGCATTAACATGTTTGAGTATCTTCTTGTTTTTGCATTCTAGCATCATTGGCATTGACTGTTGGGTTTTATCCATGTAAACTTTCGTACGTTGGTTCATTTAAATATTTCGTCTAGTGGTAATGTACACGATCACATGAAAATCACGGGTGTGCATAGAGTGACGATACTCCTGTTAGGTTACATTTTCATCGTTATAACCAGCCTTGGTATATATCTGCTCCATTCAGAATTCAATGGAATAGAGTAATGGAGCTTGTACTCCATTGGCTCCATTGGCTCCATTGAC